AAGAAAGAAAGAAAGAAAGAAAGAAAGAAAGAAAGAAAGAAAGAAAGCGAGCTGGGCATCACAAAGAATCCTTGCGTGACCCTTTCCAAAAATCTCCACTGAAGGCAAACTCAAGACTTAGGAGAAACCGGCCTTGGCAAAAGCCTTCAGGGAAACGGCCACCTAGATTTTGCTCGGCTCCAGGGGTGGGCCTCCTTCTTCCAGCCCTTTTTGTTTTCTCCTCGGGTGCAAGGGGCTGGTGAAGGCACCAGAACTGGGGATCCGACGATGCCTCGGACGGAAGCGGATGGTCCAGAGCGCACAGGGAACGGTACAAGCGAGGTGACCCTTGCAAAGAAAGCCCCTGAAAGTCCCACCGATTTTTGGATTCCCCTTACCCTGTGCAAGGCCGACACGGTCTGGAAGGAAGACCCCTTCTTCTTATGAGTACCCTTCCCCTTGGACTCCAATGCTGCAGAGGAGAGAAAGACAGAAGAGGAACCAACGTGAAAAGCAATCCAGTGGATTCTGGCTTTATCTTGCACTACAATTCCCATCCTATCCCAAGGCTGGGGAGGATGTGGGGTGGAATTATTCCACCCATCTGGAGAGAGGGAAGGCGGAGTTATATTTTTAGGGATAAATCAAATCAAAGCCATCGATTCATCAAGAAGACAGATACAGATGAACAGAGTTGGAAGGGACCTTGTAGGTCATCTAGTCCAACCACCCCCCCCCCCCACCAAGCAGGAGACCCTACACCATTTCTGACAGATGACAGTCCGGTCTCTTCTTGAAAGCCTCCAAGGATGAAGCTCCCACAACTTCCAAAGGCAACTTCTGTTCCATGGGTTGATTGTTCTCACTGTCAGAAAATGTCTCCTTATTTCCAGGTTGAATCTTTCCTGGATCAGTTTCTATCCATTATTCCTTGACTTCAGGTGCTTTGGAAAATAGCTTGACCCCCTTCCTCCTCTCTGGGGAGAAAGCTGCTATCCTGTCTCCCCTGGTCCTTCTCTTCACTGAACTAGCCATGCCTGGTTCCCACAACCATCCATCGTATGTTTTAGTCTCATAAACCATAAGCAACTATGTGATATTAGGCCAGATTAACTGCCTACTTACTTAAACATAGAGATAGTTTTCAACATATGACCATTCATTTAGTGATGGTTCAAAGTTTTGAGGACGCTTAAAAGGATGATAGAAGAGAAGAGAAGAGAAGAAAAGAGAAGAGAAGAGAATGAATAATAAAAGATAGAATTAGATTAGATTAGAATAGAATAGAATAGAATAATGAAATTTAGAATAGAATAGAATGAATAATAAAATATAGAATTAGAATAGAACAGAATGAATA